TTCTTCATCCTCTTACCTCCTCCTGAGAATGTAAATCCTCTCTCCTCATCAGCTTTGAGATGAAAGTTGTATGATATTCTAGCAAGGAACCCAAATAAAAACTGCACCAGAAAATTGTTTTTTTGAGAAACTACGCAAACTGATTATGATACACAGCATCCACCGACCACCTTATATGCCAAAGACTGGCAGGACTCCAGTTAAGTTCTGTGTTGTGCACACAATTGCTTTGCAGTGATTCATGAGCAAACACCATGCAATAGGCTGAACTGGATCAGAAACAGCTTTTCTGGCTATGAAATCACAATGAATTATGGTCTAGCTACAAAGCAGCTACGCAACACAGGAGTAAGGGCCATACTGTCTCTAACATTAAAGCACTTATCCAGCAGTGCTTCGGTGCTCTGACAGAGTTCTCTGTTTACACTAACCTATTTTGAGCCAAGGCTTAACAAGGTTGGGCCAGCAAACAATTGGCTTCTGGATAGAACCAGCTCAAATCCAGCCGCAATAGCCTTATGTCAGCTTATATCCATTCTCTTCACAGGAATATCAAAGCTGGATCCCTAAACAGTATTTCTAGCTGAAAAATCCCCAAATAATTTCTAAATTGGTAAACCTAATCATTGTTTCGACATTTAGCTAAACATGATCTCCAGTTTTTCTGATTGAAGTCAGAACCATTCCAGACCTCCAAAAGTGAAGTGATTATTAGCATGCAGTGGGGACCTTATGTAAAACTTTGGAAAGTCACAACACAGTTCAAAAATGCTTTCAACAATCTCACAAATCACTCAAGCTTCTTCTAATTCAGAAAGTGTGGCTCAACTATATTTAGGCATGTTTTGGCCTAAGTACATTACATGCTTACTTTGAGAACAGTGGATGAAAACCCACAGCAAAGGATTTTCATCTGCTAGTACGAGTCTCTCAAGCATTTGTCTCTAATATATAAGTAATGCCTAAAACGTAAGGCTAGTCTCAATAACAGAAATAGTTAAGGTTTTTCAAATACTCTGCGTACCCTTTTTCAGATCCCACTCCATCAAAGACAGACTTTAGGTTAAAAAGGGGTGTAAAAACATGCATTTCTGCCAGTTACAGAAAAAGTAGCTTGATTTTCTACATCACATCCCATTCTGATACACAAAATTTGTTCCCAATTCTTTATGGTTAGGAAAAAAGTTCCTTTTTCTTTATCGAAAACAATAAGGAACATAGATACAAATCTTGAAGTGATACCTAGGCAATACTTCCACTGAAATCAGAGAGGTTAAAAGAAGTCAACCTATACAGCCCTATGATGCAGATCCCTTTAGTTAGAAGAAGCTGTTGCTCCCAAGGTTTTATCTGCAGTAAATAAATCCCACAACACCACAATCTTTTAGGTTTAAATTAAGAAGCATCAAATTATATTATCCTGAAAAAACATTGCATTTTTCAGAAAAGTTCTTTTTAAAAAAGATGATGAAATTATGGGCCAGACCATCAAAAAATGACTAATGTAAAATCATAAGTTCAAAGAAAAAAGAAATTCAAATTCTATGAATACAAGTAAAAACTATTTTCAGAGAACATAATTCAATAAAATTAATCTCATAGCAATGCACCAAAGACTACAGGGAGAAAAGATTATGAGAAAGTTTGAGGTTTTGGCGGTGGTGTTTTCTGGGGGTTTGTTTGGGGGCGCTTTTTTTGGTGTTTGTTGTTTGTTTTGTTTTGCTCTTTAACCAATCAAAAAAACCATTAGATCATTGCTCCCTCTATTTTTCAAAGAGGAAAATTCAAACCTAGAATCTTCAATAGCTTAGGCAGATTCGAAGCAAAACATAGCATCTATCTAAATTTCACCTACAATTTTATTGAATTCCTTCCCAGCATGTTGCACGGCTCTACTGTGCACCATTTGTATGGCAGTGTACATAAACTGAATCACTGAATGCTCTAAAGGCTGCCCTGTGCTATGGGATCCTCAGAAGAATGGTATTATTAACTCAAGTAATAAGCTATTTGGCGTGTCCATAAAAAGACAATTTTTTTTTTTTTTAAGGGAAATGGATAGCTTTAAAACTTTGTTTGCCAGATTGTCTTTAACGGCTATGCCAAAATAGATGAAAATACAGTAATTTATAAATCATAATATTACTACAAAACATGTCCTGAAATAGGACAAAATACTTAAAATACTTACTTGAGAAAGAAGATACAGGGAAACTTGGAGACTTATTTTTGGACGCTCTCCACCCTACAGAAAAAACATTATGAAGAATGCTTATTAATTTATATAAAGTTAAAGCATTCACACTGTTCAATATTTTATTCAAAACAAAACTTTTAATATTGTAATTGTACCTCATTTTGCTACAAAATGTTCAGAAAGCATCAAGCTCTTAATTTCAAATAGTTTACAAGAACTGAATGTTGAAGACTCTCAAATAAGCATATCCTCTACTCTACATGCTTAAAACACAGCTATTGATTACTGTTTTCCATAGTCACTTCAGTGACTTAAATCTAACAGATGAGCATCCGAGAAATACGTTGGGTTTTGCTACACTACTATTCCTTCAAAAAGTACTTCTCAGTTAACGTTCATTAAAGTCTGCTCTAAAAATTAGCTATTCAGAAACAATGAAATATTATCCACACAATACAAACATGCTCTTGACAGACACTTCTTTAAATCAAGGAAATCACATTGGACAAAAATATTTGAAGTATATCTTGAGCACAAAAGTGCTAAATTTGTATACCAATAGTAATGAAAATGTTTCTAAAAATAAATTAGTGATACTTTAAAAACCATCAGCAAATAAATTCATCTATCTCAAGAGGTAAGAACAGCCCAGTTTTATGATTGCAAATATCTCTGACATCACAATAACAGACATATCCGCCTGAAAACTGGAGGACAAGCGGATTTTTGTACATGCACAAATAGAAAGAGTTAGAATAGCTGAAATGAAAGTAAAAGTCAGGAAGTTTGCTTCACCCTATTTCAATAGTCTTATCAATGGCAAGACAAGAAGCTGATTGTTATTCAATCTTCAGTGCACATGCACTACACTGAATTCATTAATTTACAACACACTTGATCTCTGGTGAATGAAAGTATGCCGAAATTCACAAAGCATTGTGTATCTTAAGCACAAACATCACTACAGAAGATTAAGAAGCAGGGACAGGGGGGAAGGAAAAACCCAGAAATAAACAGAACAATGAATTTATTTTTTTAAAGACACTGAATACAGTAACCTGCAGAGGTTTTAAAAGAATAATTTCAATTTCGTTAAATATTAGCTTTCCACTACATTTAAAGGCTATGCTTTGAAAATAAATTTGACTATATCACATTCAAAAACAGTTTATCTGCAAATACAAGAATGAAGCATCGAAACCAAAAGTTTGTATTTTCTACCAGGAGTGGATTTTTACACCATGGAAAATTTGGGCGTATACTGGGAAAAGGTACTATAATCTGCTTTTTCAGGAGACAAGTGACCATATCAGAAAAGGAAATCATGCATCTTCCAGCATCAGAGAAATTTCATGTTCCAAATTTGCAGCTCTTCTCATCTCCACTATTGTTAGCTTTAACAACCACGTAATCCAAAACGGTATCTGTTTGGTGAATCAAGTTTAATCTATTCTGTCTTTAAATTCAGTCTCGGGTATTTCCCCTACAGTCATCTTATCTAAGCTGTTTCATGTAAAACACAAACATAGATATCAACAATATCAACCCTACTACAGAAT